TCTTCTTCTGACCCCCGCCAACTTCAAAAACAGCGCAGGCAGACTCTACCGCGGCCTCGTGCCGCCGCTCATGCTCGAGGCGCCCAAGCGCGCCGTCAAGTTTGCGTGCGTATACTATCTCTGTCCCTCTCCTTCTCTCTCTCTCTTCTCCCTGCCCGCCTGTTCTGCGTAAACGACTCTTTTTGCTGACGTATGCACCTCTTTTCGCTTCTGCCACTCTCCCCCTCTTGCCGCTCCGTTCGCCCCCCCCTCATCAAACAGCGCAAACGACGCGTGGGCAAAGACGTACCGCGGCATTACGGGGCAGGAGAAGATGACGCAGGGCCTCTCGGTGCTCACGGGCATGAGTGCCGGCGCCACCGAGTCCGTCGTCGTCGTGCCGTTTGAACTCGTCAAGATTCGGCTGCAGTGCGTTTGTTGTCCCGCCCCCCCTTCCCCCCCTCTCCCTTCCCCCCCTTCTCTTGCTGCGCCGCCTCAGCGCCAAGCCTCGCAAACACCCAGCTGACCATAGTTCGTGCGTTGTGTGTGTCTCCCTTCCCCCTCCCCCACCTCCCCCCTTCGCCCGCGCGCAAACAACGCAGAGACAAGGCGCAAAGCCACCTGTACAAGGGCCCCATGGATGTCGTGTCCAAGATCGTCAAGGCCGACGGCCTGCTGGGCCTCTACGCCGGCCTCGAGAGCACCTTTTGGCGCCACGTGCTGTGGAACGGCGGCTACTTTGGCTGCATCTTCCAGGTCAGGGCACTCATGCCCAAGGCGGAGGTGAGTGGGCTTGCGACTGCTGCTGCTGCTGCGGGCTGCGGGCTGCCGGCTGCCCACGAGAGGGGGAGGGAAAGGGGAAGAGGGTTGGAGAAGCAGCATGACGGATGGCGATGAAGGATGATGGGAGGAGAGCATCTGAAAGGGGGGGAGGGGGAAGGGGGCAGAGAGAGAGAGAGAAGAAACAAGTCTGCCTGCGAGAAAGCAGGGGCGAGGGAGAGAAGTCATTGGGAGGTTTGAGGTTTCAGCCCGCCCAAGGCGCCACAGCTGCGGTTTGCGCACCTCCCTCCCCCTCAAGGTTCGAGGGAGCCCCTGGGGGGCAAGTGCTAAGCGGGGGTGAACAGATGGCTGAAACTGTCCTCCTTTCCCTCTTCCCCCCCCGCCTTTCCCCCAACCCCGGCGCGCCCCCCCGCGCCTTTTCTCGCAAAAATGCCGCCGCAGAACAAGGGCCAGGAGCTGCGCAACAACTTCATCTCGGGTGCGATTGGCGGCTTTGTGGGCACGGCGCTCAACACGCCCGCCGATGTCGTCAAGAGCCGCATTCGTAAGTATCGTCAGGTCGGCGCGCAATTCCACTTCCCCCCCCCCCCCCCCGGCGGCGGGCGCGAGGGCCAGCGGGCGCTGTGACGCACGGAGGCATTGCCCCCCAGGGCTGTGGCTGAACCACCCCCAACCCTTTTACGCTGTCGCGCACAGAAAACACACCCAACGTGCCCGGCGTGGTGCGCAAGTACAAGTGAGTGGTGCCAACTTGCGCCTTCCCTTGATGTTCTCACCGGCGCGAAAAACCTGTACTCACCCCCGCGCCCCCCTCCTTTCTGCCCTTCTTCGTAGCTGGACTTTCCGTGCGTGCCCTCCCCCGCCCCCGGCCCGCCCCTCTTTCCTCATGCTCCTCTTCTGGCCGGCCTTTCTCTGCTGACCCCTCGTCTCTCTCTCTCGCGGCCCACAGCGTCGCTCCTCACGATTGCCAAGGAGGAAGGCTTTGGCGCGCTCTACAAGGGCTTCACGCCAAAGGTGCTGCGTCTGGCGCCCGGCGGCGGCGTGCTGCTCCTCGTCGTCGAGGTGGTGCTGGAGCAATTCCGCAACACCATGGGCCCGCCTTACATCTAAAACACACCAACACGCGCGCGCAGCGCAGGTCTGGCAACAAAATGCAAGGGACGCCAGCCAAGGAAGCCCGCTCCGTCCGAGTGTGCCTCCCCGCGAGGCTGCTGAGACATATCCTCGCGCACGGCGACACTGCGTGATGTGCCCCCTCTCTCCCTCTCTCTCTCAATCTTGCTTCACGCTCGACAAGCTGTTGTACTCTCTCTCTCTCCCTCTCTCTCTCTCTCTCTCTCTCTCTTTCTCTCCTCTGCTCGCTGCTCTCCTGATGCCTCTCTCTCGCGATAGACTCTTGCGCCTCCTCTTCGTCTGCGGCTGCGCAATCACAAAACAGGTGTCATGCCACGGACGGGGGCGAATCGGGTGCTGGCGTGGAGTGAAGCATAACGCATGATGATTGGACAGGGGTGCAGATTTGAGGAAGGGCCCTCAGAACGAGATGACCTTCTTCTCGCCTCGCGTCGTCGTCGTCGTCGTCGTTGAAGACTTGATCTTCTCCTGCCTCGCCAGCTGCACTCTTCTTCTCGCCAGCTGATGAAAGTCATCCTCGTCTGCTCCAGCTTCTCGATCTCCTTGGCCCAAATGCTGCGCGCCCGTCATGGCGGCAATGCCCAGCGCCGCCGCGCCCGCCGGCTGGGCGCGCAGCGAGAGCGGACAGTCGCGCGCCAGATGCTGCACGCTCGAGCACAGCTTGCAGCTGCCGCCGCGCGGATACACGCCGCGCCCGGCGTTGGAGGGACATTGAGAGGCAAGATGGCCCTGCCAAGGGGGACAAAGGCAAGGAATAAAAGAGGCGGTTCAGCGCAAAGGACGGCGCAGCACGATGAAGATCACTCAGCGTGCCGGCAGAAAAGGCCAGTAGTGAGGCTTCGTGCCCTTGTCGGCCTT